AAATCAAGCATCTTGATAATGTCAGTTTCAGAGAATGTTTTGTTTGAATCAGAGTGATTCTTTACAAAGTAGGATTTATCCCTCCCCAAGACAAGATACTTGTATCTACGTTCGCCATTCTTTTTAATGAAACAAAGTAATACCAACTCCTTCAATTTGTCTTTTAGTTTGGAATGGGGAATACTTGTGTAAAGAGTAGAAAAGTCAAATGTTTTGATACTATTGCAAGATGAGAGAGTCTTAGATTGTATGTTCTCTAAAAGATCTTTGGAATTTTTTAATATCCACATCTGATTCACGCCACCTCTAGAATAGGCAGTTTCACAATAACTTTGGAGCCCGGCTTTGATTGCTGATAAAAGAGATGTTAATAATTTAGAAAGAGGTTTTGTGGAGCACTTGGAAGACCCATCAATATACCGTTGTTTGTAAGGACACTTATGTAGTTTAGGTATCCAATACAGTGATGGAAGATCCAGTTCTTCATCTTTGGTTGAAATTCCAAAGGAACATAGAACAGACCTATGATTATCCAGGATTTCCTCTTTGGTAAGTGTCGTGAGGGTATATGTTGAGTTTCCAAGTGAATTGTCAATACCTAATTCATTTATCAAGCAGTTTATGTAATGATATTTACTCACAAAAACGATGTTGTTTGGGGCTTTATCTGCGGGGACAACAACATATTTGTCATGGAGGTAGGTAAAGTGTTTTGCAACATTTGGGTCTTTAAAAATTTATGTAGCGTGGGTATTTATTGCCCATTTAGTTTCTTAATTCGGATTTGTATCAACGACCTCACAGCCTTAATCCATTCGGAAAGAGTATCTGCGTCTTCTTTCTCGCGTTTAGCCATTGCCTGGCATAATCTTCGACTGAATCCATCAGTATTTTGAAGTTGTATTTCCAATTGATGCTATAAAGTGCTCAGACGACAAAAGGCAAAACATGTACAGTAATACAATAAACATTTACAAAAGGTAAACGTGAATAGTACGATTATGAATCGACGGTGGACACAAATATTCAGAGAATTTTATCAATGCATTGTGCATATAAAAAAAAACAATATTCCTGCATTTCTCTAAATCAATGTGATTCCTTAAAAAATAAATGTGCGAACACATTTTCTGGACGTGGCGTTGAGAGTGTTAAATCAAAATAATCATTATAAATCAAAAGATAGTATGCAAAAGAAAAATATTTTAATTCGTCTCTGATTTTGTTTCTTCATGTCATGTGTTATCTTTAAAACTTTTTATTCTGCATTTGTTCATCATATTTTGATATAGCACTTTTTTCCTTCATACAGTCATTGCTTCCGTTTGAAGCTAATGATGCCTTCCCAGAATTTTGATGTTGATTTAAAAATTTATTCATTAGTAAATTATTTATAAATAAGCTTCTTGACAATAAAATATCTATTAGTGGTCAAACTTAGAATGAGCCTAATAGCAAGGATTTGCTGACTTCATATTATTCCGCATAGTGTAAAACCTTACATACTGTCACAGTCACGTTTTCTGTGTTTGTTGATATCTTAGTAAAAGCGAAGTTATGCGTTGAGAATATACATATATGTGTCTTATTTACGTTTATTGTAGTTGAAATCAAAGAAAAGTCATACAATAGTGTGGCAGTTGGTCTCGGGACAGGTATATCGCTTGCATTCATCGTAATGGGAGTTATTTTTGTAATTGTCATGAAAACAAGACACAAAAAGCCATATACACAAAAAGGTACATTCAATGTACAATTATCAAATTGCAGATTTGACACTTGTTATGCAAAAACAGTCAGTCGTATAATATTGACGCTTGATTTTTGTGCTGTTCATAGTTAATTTCACTGTTTCAAAATATTCATTAAACGATTAATTCTTGTTTGTAAACTAAGTAATAAGTCAACTTTTATGTATTTATGAACCTGAACACTATTTTTATTAAATATTACTAAGAACGTAACGTAATAAATATGTATAATGTACTACCGATATGGTACTGATGAACACAAGCTAGGGAAGATACCAAGGGTACATTCAAAAGTCATAAATATGATAAAAACAGACCATAACCATGGCAAAAAACAAAAATACGAACGACAAACAACAATAAAGAAACATAACATAGAAACAAAAGAATGAACAAAACAACCCCATCCAAAAACCGGAGGTGAACTCAAGTGCTCTGGAAGGGTAAGGATGAAATTATTCGGGCTTTTTTAAAGATAGATAAAGTTTTATCAAAAAGGTATGACATTTATCCTATTTAATTGCATAGAAACAACATATTTCATACAGAATTTACCAAAAAGAAAGCGTGTAATGATATATAAAATTGCAAAAGTGCAAGTAAAGCTTCTTTTTAGTGGTGTTATCATTGACATATTCACAAAATTTGCTATACAATAAAACGATGTTTGCATGAATATTGGCAAATAAACAATTCTCGTAGAATAGATAAAGAATTCACAAGCTCGAGTAAAAAAATTTACCTTGAACATTTACTATATTTTTATCATCTTGTGAAAATGTTGGCTGCCTAAACTTTGTCTTTGCAATTAAAATGAAATTGAGCCACAAATTGAGCAGGGACATAGCAAAATTCATAAGTTTCGCACAACCTGCAAATCTCTTGTTATGATTTTCTTGAAAATATATCTTCAGAAACGAAACCAGCGTCTCAGAAGTACCAGTCAACACAGGTAGGGACTAGGTAAGAACTGAATTAGAATATGACAAAAAATCTCATCTGTTTCCCAGGTTCTCATTGGTTGGAGTATAGTGTTACTCATATCTGGCGTGTAATTATTTCTATCATTTTGGCATCAAGGTAGATCAAATATCCGCAATCCATGATTGTAAAGTAGCAAAAAAAAAAAAACAAAAACAAAAAAAATTCGTCTGCATCTTGATATGAACTGTAAATAAAATTGAGAATGGAAATGGAGAATGTGCCAAAGAGACAACAACCCGACCATAGAACAGACAACAGCAGAAGGTCACCAACAGGTGTGTTTATTTTTAGAGGGGGACTACAATTCATTTGTAAGACTTTTCTTGTGTTTTATCTCAATATAACGATTGCTTTTATCAATACAGAATATTTTTCGTTTGATTAAATGTATATCCTCCAATTGAGGCTTATAATGGTATAGATAGCAAAGATAATGCAAGTTCCCAAGGGAATGCATATAAAACTTATCTTTATTGTTTGGTAACAAGAAAACAAGTTCTTCCATGATCATAATTTTCTGAAAGCGCATATTTTATTTCAAAATGTTAGCGTTTGGTTTTCTTTCAATTCACACAAAATTCGTTTGTCTATGAATAATCTTTACAACATGACAATTTTGCACAACCTTTAGCTTGAAAAAAACTCAGTCTTTCATACAATTAATTATACATTTTTGTACTTCTGACAATAAATTGATATAAACTTTATTTTTGCAAGGCATTGAAAAAACCATCTGCCCTTGGATAGAATTTCCGACTTTTTTTCTTTTTGCTCACGGATATTCAGTTGAATTTCTGCGGTCTACAGTGTATAATGGTGTGTTACAGATCGAAAAGATCTACATGGTTTGAAGCCTTAAGCATTGTTCAGCAGATTGGTGCATTCGTGTCGACCGTAACTTTTTCAGAACGGTGTTTACTAAACATAGGATACATAAAAAAAACGGAACATAGTACACGTATGATTAAAAGAGAACAGGAATAATTTTGAACCGATGAATATAGAGATATTTCAGTTTTATTCAGCAGCTAGTAAATGAAATCAATCATAATCGGTACAAGTATTGCAGAATGAAAATAACGCATTATGAATCTGTTGCGTACGAAATACTTTATTTCAGATTTTATCTTCACTTGGAATGCTCAAACCCGAAAGTATGAAAGCCAAGGACACGCAGGACATATTCATATATGTGCTTGATAAAAAACAAAGAGCTATACAATCATCATATACATGAAAAGATTAGCCAAGTCAACTCTGCCTTAGGGAGTTGCAAGTGATGGACAAATCTCTCCCTTTCCAAAAAAATTCTGTACCCAAGATAATTTAAACTAAAAACTACCAATTAAGCTATTGAACAAGCAGGCTTGTAATGTACCGACCGAGTCCTATGTTCTATTGTAACATTAATCAATATGGATAAACATGGTGTATGATGCATGCCTAGATTTTTTTAGTACAAGCGATACCCTTGTGTTTCGTTTTTAACATTGTTTTAAAATGCAATGCTTTTTGCAAAAAACAATAATGTAAAAATCAGTGAATAGCAAATATATCCAACGCTTCGAAATAGATTGAGTTCGTTTTTTTACAAAAATTAATAATGTATTTCCACTCTTTTAATCCATTCATATAGTGGCGTGAAGACCATTAATAATAAAAATTATGAAAATGGTATGTATATTTATTAATTAAATTTTATAGGGAATAACAACTGTACTAAACGTTACTGTTATTAAAGCGGTAATGTCCGTTTTTACTGATCATTTGGTAATAAAAAAAAAATGGCTTGAACCTGTCTTGGTAAAGGTGAATTTTTATTGAAACCAGGAAAATATTACATGTAGGAATATTATCATTATTAGCAAAGCTATAGTAGTATAATTATTATCACATAGTTTTCTTATTGAGAAAAGACACGTACACGAAATTAAAAAAAAACCAACTATAATTTAATATATTATCTACTTTATTTAAAATGTAAGGATTTTATTTTCCAAGTAACACATATCCAAGTTGTCCCCTTTTAAAACCAGATGTAACAACAGACATGATATTGCTTGAAATGGAAATATACATTATTGTATTGAAACTTATTAAGAACTTGAGATATCAAGAATTTCCTTATAACGGGTGCATTACATAATTCCTAGTGAAGATTAAATTAAGAAAAGCGCGTTGGAAGCATCAGCTTAATAGATTGTTATTTTCATTGATTGATATGACAATTGTGTTTATTTTTGAATTATTACTCTGCTACAGATGTTTAAAGAAAATGTGAGTTCAGTTAAAATAATACGGGAATAAAACTCTGTTGAAACATATATTTAAGACATAAAAGACATTGATAAATTGCTGTATATAAGTACCTAATGTGCTTTATAGATTCATATTTATTCCTTTGCAATCGTTTACAGTAATGAAACCTGAGGAATCGGAAAACAATCGAAGGTAATTCAAAGTTAGATATAGAGTGTGTTGTTTTTCTTAATTTACAACTATCATTAAAGCAAAGGCAAATGAAGAAAACAACACAAATATAATCAATTAGATAAGCAAATAAAAGTTTTCAATTCAGGTGCATTTGAGGAATTAATTATTTGGCCAAAACAAATCACTATAACACAACTGTTGAGGTAAATTTGAATGAATTAAAAGAGACTATATACATTTACTGTGCAATTGAATTAAGTTTTTGAGGGGGTGACTTTTACCGAAATAATGGTTGACACATACCGCCTTCCGATACCTTCCAGTACACCGTTGTTTATTCCGGATTGACAAAATTAAGGCGACAGTAGTTTACCGACGTTCAAATCTGGTAAATCTATTTATAAAACAATGACATTGACATAAAACTTGGGCGTCCGAAGTGCTCTTCTGGATTTACATACAACAGGAACGCCACAAGTCAAATATTTCAAAGTCAATGATGTATAGATACTCGAAAACTTATTATTACAGTATGAACGAGTATGAACCAGTTGTTGTAAAAGAAGTTGTAAAGGTAGACAAAGAAACAGTAGGACAAATCTCTTCATATGACAACATCCAGATCAAAGGTACAGATACTCATATAATATAGCCTTATAACAAAACGTATTCCAAAAAGTGTTAACAAAAATACGGAACTCCTCAATAAATTCATAAAGTCCATAAAACCTGATAAAATCAAACGCTGGACAATATCAACCAACGACATGAATTGCAAAATACTGTCATATTTTTGACTTGGTAGAGGCATTTCATAAACAAGTGGTATAACTGATTAGACGCATTTTATAAGGTTTTATGTCTTTGTGCTACTTAAGATTATTTAACGATTTGTTGCCAAGGCGACTTTTCGAAAATTCAATGTATGACTAAAAAAATCCAAAAAAATAGTATTTCTTCCGATGCGCTCACTCGCCAAAAATATTGAACAATATCATTATGAAGAAAACCCGATAATCTATACATACCTGGCTTTATTATTTCGTGGCCTTGTTACTTTATATTGAATGTAGGTTTTGAATGGAAAATGTGTGATTTATGCAGAGGAAGAGTAACGTAGCTCATTGGAAGTTCTCACCCTACGATTACACTTGGTTTACCAATGATGTTCGAGAGTTTTTACCTGAACATATAACTTAGTTTTCTTGTCCATAATTCAAATTTATTTCAATAATTAATCATCTAGTTAGCCTTTTCCAGTTCCAATTATGACTCATGATTGTGATTCCTTTAATCCATTTTATGATATTTTTAGGAATAAGTGAACACAATGGACAACAGAGACCCGACAGAGAAACAGCTGAATATGAGAATTTAGTCATTTTTAGAAAATAGATATTTTAGAATCAATTGACGTTTTATGTCTTGACGGTGCTTTATAATTGTGCTTTACTTTTGATGGAATATTGTTAGAATTTCAAAATCAATTTAAATAGCTGTAATGCGCATCTTTCATTTTTGACACTTTATTTAACTTTCTTCTTAATATTTTCATATGATCTTGAGTAAAATTAACAGAAAAAGGCCACATTACGGCGATTATATGTTTGACACAGTATTACTTGATTGACTATAATATAAATTAACATTTACTTTTAATATTGGTAGGTCCTTTACTCGTTCTTGACATGTTTCTAGCTTACAAACCAACAAGAAACTTTTTTGCAACATCAATATGCATTTAGGTTTCCTCAGTATTAATTGTATATATATATTTTTGAGTATATCAAACTGTTTATCTTAAACTCCTTCTTTCTGTTTACCAATATAATTAATGTATTCCCTGTAAATTCAAATTATTTTTATATCACAACCATCAGAACCATACAATAAAATTTAACAGTTCCAGTTTTTCTGTACCAGATGCGCGTTTCGATTAAATAATGTATGCATTTAATTAAATGTTGTTCTTCCTGCGGACAAAGCTTCAAATAATATTGTCTTTGTATGTAAATCGTACTACTTCGTGTGTCTTTTAAAAGAATAAGGAATAAATAAGCTCTGAGGTAATTCCACATACAAAAACATATCATTTGATAAGAATGAGATTTGACGAATCATAAGTTCTTCATGGCTTCAATGAACATTAAACTGAACAGCAAATCGGAGGACTAACCTTGTTTGTATTGGATACCTAAGCTTCACAAAATTCCGTACAAGCAACGGTACATTGCCGGCTCATCTGCATGTTCGACGAAGGAATTGTCCATTAGATTGACAAAAATTATGTCCGCATTGAAAGAGGGACTTCAGAAATACTGTGAAACTATTAACTCGCAGAGTGGTTTTACAATATGTAGATTCTAAAAAGCTCTAAAGAACTTCTGGATAATTTTAAATCTCGATCTTTCTCTGAAATTAGTTTTATCAAAACTTTTGATTTTTCAATCCTGTACCACCGGTACCATTCCCAATGTGAAATTGAAAATCGTCTAAAGAAAATATTCCACAATGCTTTTCCACATAAAAATGGTAGCATACTAGTACGCTATAAATTTATTACTTTGGGATACCATACGGCATATTTTACAAAAGGTAAAACATGCTATACAGATGAACAAGTGATCAGTATGCTGGAGTTTCTTATTAGCAACATATTTGTTGAATTTGGAGGTAGAATTTTTCAACAAATTGCCGGCATTCCTTTGGGAACGAACTGTGCACCTCTCCTTGCCCGATCTCTTCTTATTTTAATGTGAGTCGGAGTTCCTTCACACACTTGTCAAAAACAAGAGGATCAAAGAAGGCAGATCATTTAATTTCACATTCAGATTTATTGATGATGTTCTTTCTGTTAACAATTTTATGCGACTGTCAAACAAGTGAGAGGTTTAGCTAGCTATAAATCCAGGTTTACTCCACCATTTTCTACATAAGAGAATGCCTGTACCAAGTCAGGAATAAAACAGTTGTTATTCGTTCGTTTTTGATGTGTTTTGAGCTTTTTGAGCTTTTGATTTTGCCATTTAATTATGAATTTTCCGTTTTGAATTTTCCTCGGAGTTCGGTATTTTTGTTATTTTTTTTTAGGGTTATATATTGTTAGTGTGTGTGTTTATTATTGACGAGAAACAAAGCTACTGAATCACAAGAAACAGTAAAATGAGAGCAGGCAATATAACTATATATAAATAAGAAGATGTAGTATGAGTGCCGAACAGCAAGCTATTATATATGTATGTAAGCATCAAATATATATCCGGCATCAAACATGTGTCCTTTTTATTTTAAACATAATTTATTCATTAAGACTTAAAAAGGATTGAGCAATAGGCACAGCTTGAAAAAAGCTCTCTCCATATTACGTGTACACGGTATAAATCAAATATTAACAACTGTTTTTAAAATAATATAATATAGTGGGAAATGCATGCTACTTATGAGGACACACAAGCAAGTATATTTTTACAGTGTTCATTATTAAATGTATAGTATATTTAAGTATGTAGGCAATTAATAATCATTTATTCAAGTAATTTGAGACATGTAAATATCCGTTTTAAGTCATTAAAAATATATGTATATAAGGTTGAGAAGAGACACTAAGTTTACTAAGTGGAATAAGTGAATTCATGTTGAAAAAAAGGAAAGAAATAAAACAAAAAAGTAAACATTAAATAAAATAAAAATTCAGAAAATTTCAAACAAAACAGTGAGCGTCACTGATATATTTCTAAACAGATTTAAAAATACCAATATTCATATCATACGAAAATAATCTGTTTCTAAAAAGTAATAAGTCAATATTTATGTCAACATTATCAACAATTGAGTGAATGGAATCAAGTAAGATCTGTCTTACATCATTGTACTTAGGGCAAATAAAAAAAGAAATGCTGGTTATCCTCAATAGGGTAAATACAGTTTGCACAAATAGTGTTTTTTGATAAGAAATGATTAAACAAATGAGATTTTAGGTTTCTATCATTATTTTTGAGTTGACAATGACTAAATATTATTTTTCCTTACCTCATAGTGAAAAAGGTTTAAATATATCACCAATCCTATAAAACTTGTCCAGTCTACTTCTAACTATACATAAACTTATGGATTTTTGTATACTTAGAGGAAAACTATTCCAAAGTCTTATAGTGGAAGAAATGAAACTATCAAAGTAAGAGCTGCTTGTTCTAGCAAATGTGTGTGTGTGTGTGTGTGTGGAGGGGGGAGGGTGAAAAGTATTATTTTCATTCCTCAAAGTATAAGGGGTTTGTCTGGGAAAATATGACTTGACTAACTCGTATAAGCATGCAGGTATCATCCCATTTATTATTTAATAAACAGTATGAGCGTATGTTTATTTCGTCCTAATTCTAATTCAATATACAGTGTTTGTCTTGAGGAATTACGCAGTAGTCCAGTAAGAATTCTAACAGCTTCTATCTCAATATTTCAAGAAGCTCGGACTCGTGCTGGGAGCAATTGCCCCAAACAACATCACCATACTCTATTATAGGTCTAATTAAAGTATACATAGTAAATACGTATAAGTGAATTCCTATCTAATTAATAGTTTACTTGTCGAAGCACAGATAAACGAGAGCATGCTTTTTTATAAATATTATCAATATGTGTGTTCCATGAAGCTGATGACTGAAATTTTTTCCTAAGACGATAGTAAATATTTATTTACATTTGTCCTTTCTTCCGATCTGTGTCCTATTCTATATTTGTTTCAGGTTTGCAATCTGTCATATGTGTTGACTTCAGAATTATTACAATTATCGAGGAAAGATATTTATTGCCAAAGACACCAATACGACTCTAATATTCGAATACTATGAGTACAGGGAAAAGGGAAACTGAAAGTGAGAGGAGCGAATTAGGAGCTATGGGATAGAAACAAAGGAAGAGAAGGGGTTAAAATAGGGATCGACTAGAAAATTGTTTTTAGAAGGGTTCGACATGGATACGGAAATTGGGAATGAGAGTCTTAGAGTGGAAGTCAAGGAGCGAGAACTAAAAAACGAGGGGAAGTAAAAATAGGGATATACTTCAAAAGTTTTTTGACCAAAGTTCGTCTGAGAGTAAGGGTCAGGGCTATGGAAATTCAGAACCCCATTTTCACTTCTCTACAAAGGGCTTACCATGTCCAGAAAAGGGTTAAAAACACTTATAATTCTTATCTTTCAGGTATTATGATTTGTTTTAATTGTTTTTAAATCAAAGCTTAAGTTTAATAGTGAAAACAGTAAGAATGTTAACACAATTTTATTCTCTGCTCTCTCAATATAGACACATTTGTATTAAACACTTGGGGGAGCTGGGATTGTCAAACAAGTAAGAAGTCTTGAAGGCCAAACAAACGATAAGGAAGATTTGTGTCTTTTGTAGTTTTTTTGTTTATTTGTTAGTTGAATATGAATCATGTAAGCCCTATCAGGCTGATTTTTACAGTTTGTTATTATGTTTTGCTATTACACAATGTTCTCAAATTAGGATAGGGTAGAGTATTTTAAAACCGACACATTCTATATGTGCCTGTCATGCGTCACATCACATTACTGAAAGTCTACTTTTTAAAATGGACGCACATGTGAATGAACCAAGAGTGCCATGACGTTACGGGACACAGATCTGAGGAAAGGACACATATTGGAGACTAAAAAATGAGTATAACGATGTCACGGGACACATCTCTTAGGCTGGACACAGATTTGAGGCTGTACATAGATTTGACTCTTACATGCGTACACCAGGAAACACTGTAAACACAACCAATATCAGTTAAATCAAAGGTCAGTGATATAGTGGTGCTTTAGAAAGGTAAACATAAGCATACCGTCTTTCAGGAGACATCGCATAGAACGAAAATAGAAAATAATGAAAGTGCTTACTGTTTGTTTGTATTGAACTTTTTGGAGATAACATCAATGCGCTTATTAATATACTTTGAGGCAAGATTTAAATTTAGATTGACTTTTTTGTAAAAATTCTGTAAATATATCGATAAATGATGCAATACAAAACTTCTGTATTAATTTATTAGTCTATATATGTACCTTTAATGTTAAAGTGATCGAGCTTAAAGAAGGGGTTCAAATAGAAAAACCAGAACCCCTCTCATTAATGTTTGTGTTATTTTAAATGTTTATGGTTTGTGTCATTTGGTTTTATGGCAGATCTTTGATAACTCTGTTTTATCAATTCATTACTTCTGTACACTCGATGAGATTTAGAGCTTGATATACCATATGGAGACCTGTCAACAATTGAAGACAGTATGTTGAACCCTAAATTTCTATTATTTCGCTGAGATGTTTTATGCTGCTGTATAAACACATCTCGCTTTATTCATAAATAAATATTGAGGCGAGTGTTATAAATGGTAATCAATTGTTGTCTCACTATCAAATAGACTTACTTTTCTTTCCTCATAGTCTTAGTGACGATAATTAAAAAAATAATAATCTGTATTGCGACACTGAAACTCTGTAAATTCATTCTGATTTCACAATTTCTTGAATATTCAATCAATTTTCTCGACATATATGGAGATTATCACATATGTGAATTTTGTTGAGAGTTAAGACTTCTAATGAGTTTTTTTTAACATTAGACAGCTTATCAAACTGGGAATGATATCCACATCTTTAATCTGTTTCTATTTATGTTAACGATTTGTACTAATCTTAACCTCCATTACATAACGTAACTTACTCCCTTGATCAAAGTGAATCTCTAGACGATATGGCAATATTTGTGCATGTCCATTAAGTTGATCTGCAATGTTTCGTTTATTTAAATTTCTAGCGGTTAGAGCGCTATTGTAATAAACACAATTTATTTCTGAAACACGTCTGGGGCGCAATGAATGTTATTTACTTGTATATTTAACTGGATCCATTTGGAGCTATGCTTATTCATTACGACGCATGGTGACTTGTTTATAGTTGAACTTTTATTTTGAACTAGCTATTGTATTCAATATGATTACATAAAAGGCTCTGATTCGTTTACCTTTTCTTTAGATGCTTTATTTGAACATGTAAGTGACATGTAGCCAATAGCATGTACATATAGCTAGCTATAGATATAGTCAAGTGGCTGTCAGCCAAATCCTTGTCACATTTTTTTTAAGTTTTGAATCTTTTGAAAGTTTAATAATATTGACTTTAATTTGCCTTTTGTTCTTCGAAATACGTCTTACAGTTTCTTTGAAGAATATTTACAATATGACTTACGATTTTGTTTTGAAATAGATGCTTTTCAAAATAATGAGGTTTTGGTGCATCAAGTAGTCATTTGAACGGCTTATTTGGGGATTGTATATAAAATATTTGACATTTTAAGTGATATCAATTAGTTTGTGGAAAGCTACAACAATATCCTCAGTTTGTCATATTTGTATTAAGACATCAAGACATAAGGGATCCTCCACATGGTTATAACTGTTGTTGTATTAACGTGATGCATTGAAAGCCAATTTTTTTTTTCTTTTAATAAATTCTTTAATAGATGATTCTAAATTGATAATAATAAGGATGTATTTTATGTTATTTACAACAACTTCCATTCGACCAACGGAGTGGAGATTTAAATGGGTCCAAATGTCAATATACATTAAATAATTCATGTATGTAGATCGAATTATTAATCTTTATTATTCTTTTGTATATACTGTATATACTGTTATATGCTTTAAGCATTCATTATGTTAGATAATTTTATAGTTAGACTTGTATTTAATATTTCATCTTCTATCATCTTGATCAATGCAATGAAAAATTAAGATTTAAGTTTGACGCTCAATGAATTGCATTGCAATATGAATTAATTTACTTTTTTGTAAAAATGTATATGCATTATACTTTTGTTTGTATTCTATTTTACGGTAAAGTAGGTAATTTATATTATCGTTTTCGTATCCATATGTTTAGCATATTTATCTAACTCATCTATAGCTCTTGCATATAAAAAACCAGGAAGACTTCCCTTTTCATCTGCACAATACATTGCATGTAGTAGGCTTGAGACATTCTAGTAAAGCCAGCATGTGCTTACTTCGGCTACTTGTTATCCTGCATTTCAGGTAATAGTTTTATTTCAACTCATTTTTGAAATGTCAGTTGTTTCAATATATTTTAAATTGTAGTTTGGATATTTATCAAGAATATATTGTTTATAATCAAACATACAGTATTCAAATATTAAATATTTCATAGTTTTGACATTATTTTATTTTTTTTTAGAATATTTTCAATGGATATTTTTAAATAAAGTTTCGCTCTTAGTCATTTCTATGCAAAATATCAAAATTTAGTACTAGTACCCTTTCTATCGCACCTGGCCAAAAAGGCAAGTTTGAGCGATTTTTATCACATATGTCGTCCGTCGTCCGTACTCGTCCTTCTGCGTCCTTCCGCCGTTAATTTTTTACAAAAAAAAACTTCTCTTCTTAAACTTATGGAACAAACGTTTGCAACAATTATCCTTGGGAAATTCAATTAGTTTAAAGAATGTGTCCAATGGACCTGCCTGCCAACCAACATAGTGACACACACTTAAATAGAACATATAGATAAAATGCTAGAATTTTCAATAATCTTGTAAACCGTTATTAGATGAAGAAAATCTGATGGAGCAGAAACGTTTTCATTGATATATATACATCTACCGTTCATTTGACCAAAACTTTCAGGGGACTCCTTATATGCCTCATTGTCCTTAAATGACAATTTTACCACTTTTAAATTTCGCCTAATAACGTTAAGATTAATCGTTGGTATATATTTCTTCAGATAGAATTGTCTTATATTTTGTCAGAATGTAGATTTTCACATGTTTTTTTCAAACATTTAAGAAAGGGTCACCGTGCTATTTTTCAATCTTAGGTATATGATATACATAACTTTTTTTTCAAAAGATAAACACATGCGGAGTTTTGCAAAACGATTTGGAATATCTTCCTTACAATAATGTATAAAAAACGAAGCCCGCTGGTTGTTTGACAACCGGCAATATATTGAAATTCAAATAGCCACCTTTTTATGCAAGAGATGTCTGTGTTAAAAAATAAGGTATAATATATCAACTATTATTTATAACAGATTATTTAATAGTATAATAGGTTTCATATGCTGGAAAAAAAGCATGCAAAAGCTATGTTAAACTGAATGAAAAATGTAATTAGACATTTATACTGGACACAAACAATGCACGTGAAGTTAGCGACCGGTTCGTTATTCGATATTCGATATTCAATATCCAACCGGCTGCTGGCAGTCGGTTCGATATTAAAATTTAGTTGAAAATCATAAAAATTAGAATATTCGATAACATTAAAAGCATGATTGTCATAGTTAAGAGGAGTGCACGTGAAAAGATATGCAGGAAATCGTTATATGACCCCTTCAAGCTGTCGTAAATTCTCGTTGTCCTCAAATATAAACCCTTATGTAAGTTGCATATTTGTCTTTATGAAATATAAAATTTTATATCAATAAAACGACATCAAAGATGTACTTTTATATATAATATTTCTTAAAACAAAAACAAAAACAAAAAAAACCGATCACTCTAGAAAAATTTAGAAATATCAATAGAAATATTTTTGGAAAGCCCCAAAAAAGTGAAAACCTTCCGGAGACCGCTTAGATGACAGTGAGACCCCCTGGTCTTTCGATGTCCATAAAACGACGATATCTTAAACTATGTATATATAAAGATTGTATCAAAAGGATTTTCCAGAATAATGTCAGCTTCGATATCTACGGAGAGCTTAAAATGTTACTTTTCCGCTAAAAATTGTCGAAAATTCAGGACAAAGGGTACAGGGCGATGGTGAGACCCCCTGATCTCTCAATCTTCCCAATATTATGCAGATAGTTAGTTAATATAAAGAAACAAACGTGACTAAAATGAAGTTGGGTAAACTTTTTGTCTTCTATGTTTACGGAGGGCTCAAAGTGCCAGTTTGATATTCAAAATATATAGTGAAAACCTACCGGAGACTGTTTAAATGTCAGTGCTGCAAAAGGATTTCCCAGAATAATGTCATCTTCGATATCTACGGAGGGCTTAAAATATCACTTTTCAGCTAAAAATTGTCGAAAATCCTTTTAATAGCATCTTTATATATACAAAGTCCACAATAGTATTCAATTTCGTGGATATTGAAAGACCAGGGGGGTCTACCTGTTTTTTCAGCAGAATAATGTCATCTTCGATATCTACGGAGGGCTTAAAATATCACTTTTCAGCTAAAAATTGTCGAAAATTCTTTTAATAGCATCTTTATATATACAAAGTCCACAATAGTATTCAATTTCGTGGATATTGAAAGACCAGGGGGGTCTACCTGTTTTTTCAGCAGTCTCCGGTAGGTTTTCACTATAAAATTTAAATATCAAACTGGCACGTTGAGCCCTCCATAAACTTTGAAGACGAACAGTTTACCCAAATTCCTTTTGATGTCATCTATATCTATATATAAACCAATTATATGCATAATATTATAAAGATTGAGAGATCAGGAAGATCTAACAAACCCCTTGGCCCTCGTTCCTGGATATAGCTGAATATTTAGTCATTCGAAAATTTCTTTTTTTTTGGTTTTCCATAGTTGTTTCTATTTATATTTTTAAGTGTTAACAGAGGGGTCGTTTCTTTTTGTTTTTTTAAATATCATTTTTCTAATGTTAATTCGTGATTATATTCTACTGATAAAAATCTATAGGCCATAAAGAGAAATATACGATTTACATAAGGGTTTATATTTGAGAATTTACGATAACTTGAAATAGTCACAAAAAAGATTTCCTGTGTCTTTTAATTTTTACTACTATAAAGTAATAACTTTCATGCTTTGAATGTTATCAAATGTTTAATTTTTTTTATTATATTCAACCTAGAAGATTTGAATATCGAACCGACTGCTAGCAGCCGGTTGGATATTGAATATCGAATAATGAATAACGAACCGGCTGCACATCCATACACAAATACTATTATAGTTTACTTTTATAAATTGTGTCTTGGATGAAGAGTTGTCTCATTGGCACTCATACCACATCTTCTTATATCTACAAACAGTCCACGAAATGTATTCTGGAAATAAAAAGAATTTTAAAATAGTTCATCAGGAGCGTTTTAAAGATTTAAACGTTTGAAAAAAAATATTATTGAGATACTTTGGCAACTTTTATCAAAAATCTAGAAAAACGGACACAGTCTACCCTATTTGGATATGCAACTTTCATATAAAAATTTTTTTTTTACAGGCTTATACTTGGACATATAGCGTTTGGGTATCTTTGCATTACAAAAAGTATAAATCAATTGTAAAATAGCGTGATTAGATGGAAATTGCCGATTGTTGGAGATTCTGAACATCAAATACTATATACAAATATGAAAATAACCAACTATTCGTCGACTTTATCACTTAATTGCAGCTCATCAGAGGTGAGCTACACAGGCTCTTGAGAGCCTCTAGTTATGTATTTTTCTTGAAATTTTGCTTCAACCATTCGTAACACTGGTAAGTCCATAAACCTCTCCAAACAGAGCAAATTGCGTCAAATTTTACTACGTTGATAATGCTTATTACATTTATTTCAAACTCGTAGTAAAAATTTGAATATATACCATTAGAAGTGTCACTTAAATGTTCGTCGTGTTAATTATTCGTGTGTGATTGCATTGTATATCACATTCAAATGAGCAGTGAAATTTTCACGTTAGAGTACGTTTCTCGTTAAAATGCTACCATAAATATACCGAATACCGCAAAAAACACCGCGAACATTTCCTCATACACGATTGCAGTACTCATTTCACATGAAAGAATCAATCAAGTACACATGTCAAATATTGTGTTTATGCCCTCGCAACTAAAAGTTGGGGGGGGGGGGGGGGGGGGGGATATTGTTTTACCCCTGTCCGTCCGTCCGTCCGTCCCATTATGGGTATAAAGTTATTCTACAAAACTCCTCCTACAGTTTAAATGCTAGGAAGTTTTCACTTTGCTGGGTGTTTGTACATATATTGAAGGTGTGCATGTGGTCAGGGTTTTGATTTTTGTTAATGTTTTCTCTTTAGGGAGATAGTTGAACTTTGTTGTATTTTGAAATACTTTCCACCTGCAGGGGCATCATTTGTGTCTCCCAGACACAATAATATCTCAAAGAAAGTCCTACATTGATTTTGTTATGATACAGTTACTTCAGTGTGGAGTGCGGGGCATCACTTTGTCTAGTTTTTTCTATAAAATAGCCTGTTTAACACTTTATAATGACGAAAGTAAACTTTATACAAGTAGCAGGTTCCTCACCTCTGATACAATCTATTGCTCTTTAATTCAGGTTCAATCTTTATGATCCAGATTTCAAAACAAAAGAAACAGAAAACTTGTTTTTCATTGATGTGACCTTTAACAGTATCATTTGTTAAGTACGAAAGTATAACAGAACCTGCTTTGCACCACGTGTTAGATAGTACATAATGATTAATTAGCAGGGAAGTCTTGCGTACAAATAGACAATATAAAGAAAATCTAAAGGACAGTATTCTTTTTTTTATTATAATTGCAACAACAATGAAAAGTAAATACAAATCCTTAAAGGGGCATAGCTGTCAAATTAATGTTTACCGATTTGACTCTAGTTCTCATATTTGATTTATAACATACTTAAACGTATATCCAAATTATAAAAAGTCTAAAATAAACAATTTACAATGCATGGGCTCGATAAAATGTATCAGCATTTCGTGTGTATTTTGGTCTAGACGCCATTTAATTAACCATAGAGATGACCTCCGAAGACTGCCGACGGTCATATAACCATTTATAAAAATAAATATAGATATAAATAGATAGTGAGCTCGTGCAATTGGATTTTTCTAGGTCTGTTTGATTTCATATTATAGGTTAAATATATATATTAAATCCTCGCTTTTACCTGTACAAGAATGAGTTTTTGTGGATCGAATCACTCAAACAAATGGTTTACCCTTGTTTCACTTTCAATGTTGACATCCTTTACCTTTTAAGAACTGAACACGCCATATTCATGCGTAACCCGTCTAAAG